CCCCAAAACCCCAAAACCCCAAAACCCCAAAACCCCAAAACCCCATATAAACAACAAAGACTTAAATAATTCACATAATTATTAAGAATCTAAACATGGAGAGTAATGTTTTGTTTGCAGACAAGGAGAGTCTCATCACTGTCCTTTTCCCATACTACGACTATGCTGATTCCTGCGTATCAACTCTAAGACTGCTGTCAAGAAAAACAAAAGAGGCTTATGATAATAACAGTGCTGCTTATCATAGGATTTTCAAGAAGAGAACACTGAAGCTCCACTATCCTAAATTTGAGAGAATCCAGACTGCACTTGAGACCAACTCTAGGTGGGCACAATACAAGCTTGACTTCCAGTTGAAATTCCCCGATGATTATGGAATCTTTGAGCAGTTCTTGAGAGACCATCCAACTGTTGAATTCAGACATCTTCATCTGGTAATATCTGATGATTCCTTGGAGGCAGCCAACAAACTTATTGATGCTATGAGGGAAATCGGCATGCTTGGACCAAACTGTGACGAGTCTTACAAGTGGTTGGACTCCTCCAACTACTGTAGAGCTGCTAACATGAAGACCAAGCTCAGATTTGAGACCGAATTAATCATTGGAGCTGAACCATCTGCCTTTATTGATAAGGTTGAAGAAATCGGGCTCTTGGATGTAAGAAATGTATCCAGATGTCCAGTCGAAGAGATTGACGTTCCAGTCTACAGCATCACCGTTGACGGTGAGTTCTGCACCTCCCTGGAAGGAGGCGATAGAGAGATCAAGGAGTCCTTCTCAGGGTCTGTCAGGAAAGCCATCTTCGAGGATGAAGCCAAGAAGGTTGCCGAAAATCTTGACCAACATGTCGAGAATCTGAAGAAAGGATACCCTAATTGAAATAATATCGAGCTCTACCTCAATGGAGAAGAACTAAAGGCCGAAGAAGTTTCAGGAATGTTTACCCATCCTGAGGTAACTAAGGTAGAGTACGAAGGACTTGAAGAAGAAGAAACCGTCAGAATTGAGTCTAATGATATTTTATTTGCAGTTGGAGATGGATCTTCCCTTACAGTCTTGAAGGCAGAGGAATTCAGCGTTGAGTTCTTCCAAGATAACTACAACACTCAGGGAGAGTATGTTGTGATCAACCCTAAATCCTCAAACATTCTCATTCAGGGAATTACCAGAGATGTAAATGGAAGACTTTATGATGATGCAGGTGCTTTGACTTATGATGCCAAGCATATTATTGTCCATCAATCTCAAGTGCATCATCTTGAGTTCAAGTCAGTTCCAACCACTGAGCCAGAAGTATTCCCAAATAGGAAGCTGACCTTGTACATCAACGAGCAGGAAGGATATGACGGCCTCATCTCTTACGTTGAGAAGATACCAGGAGCCGTTCCAGTAGTTATTGACTTAGATATGGCATTTATAGACAATATGGACGCCTCAAAAGCTATTATGAATGCTGTTTTTGCAAAGAACCTAACTACACTCAACATTGTGATGGAAATGCATGAACCAGAATTCATTGACCACCTTTATGAACTAGCTAGGAATAGCAAGACCTTGAGGGAGTGTACCCCAATCCTACACCAGGATTGTAAGAAGGTAGTAGACTTCATCAACCTCTCCCCACAAGTCGAGCAATTTGTTTTGGATATGAGGGTTCCAATCGAGGAAGATCAACCAATTATTAAAGAAATGCTCGGACTTGAAAAGAACAACAGACTGGTTCTTAAGGATGTCCACGAGTGGTGTATTGAGTACAGATATCCAACATCCTTTGAGAGGACACCAATAGTATAATTGCTAAGAAACATCAACCATTTATTTCATTTGTTTAAGCTTTTTAGGGGTTTTGGGGTTTTGGGGTTTTGGGGTTTTGGGG